TATAAGAAAATGATTCTCCAGAATGAAAGAGTAAACTCGTAGCAGGAAAAATTATTTCAAAAAGACCTACCTGAAGGCCTATTTAACATTTTTGGACATGAAAGATAAAGAAACCAATGAGAATATAGGACAAAATATCATGTTAGTAATAAAGAAAAAATAAAGATGGCATCAGACATCAGGGTGTGGCACCTCAGCAATATTCAATGACAAAAGACAATGAAGTAACGCTTACAATACACTCACGTAGAGAAAGTATGAACCAGACAAGCTGTCCTTCAATTAGAGAACAGGCCAACAAGCTGAATATGTAAGAATTCAGGGAATAGCGTTCCTATGAGCCTTTGCTAAGAATGATACTAGAAGGTAAACTCCAGCCAAGCAGGAGGTGATTGACGAAACTTTAGCAAAATAACTGATTTCATTTATTTTGTTGTGTACCTTATGAACTTTTTCAAACATATACAAATGTAAAGAGAATAATGTAATGAATTCCATGTACCTGCCATCCAGTTTCAAAAGTTTCCATATTTTGCCAATCTTGTTTCATCTTTCAGCTTTTTCCCTAAACTTTCTTTTTTCTAGAGTATTTTAAAGAAACTTCTAAACATCATGGCAGTTCACATGTAAATATTTAAATATACATCTCTAACTGAAGAACTTTTTAAAAACATAAACCAGCACACCATTATCACACATAGCAAAATTAATAATTCTCTAAAAATCATCTAATATATTCATATTTTCCTACATATCTCAAAGATATCTTGTTACAGTTGGTTGTTTTGAAACAGGATACAAATAAGGTCTATATAGCATATCTGGTTATTAAGTCACTCATATCTCCTTTATTCTCCTTTTTTAATACTGTTAATCTGTGGGGAAACTGAGTCATCTGTAAAATGGAATGTTCTGTATCTAGATGTACCTGGTTGTTTTCTTGTGGGGCTAATTGCCTTGTTTTCTGTTACTCACATTTCCTATAAACTAGCAGTAATGTCTAAATACTTGATTAGGTTTAGCTTTTTAGGAAACAGTATTTCACAGGTGGTACTGTGTACTTGTTCTTGCCTTGCCTCCTAAGGCACGTAATATCTGGGTTGATTTTTAGTGATGCTAATATGGATGAGTGGCTTCAAATTGCATAGGTCTGACCCCATTCTGCTTTCACCTAATAGTTTAGAATTCGTTATTTATTGTCTAGATCGATTATGTCATCAGAGGTTGCAAAATGTTTACTTTCAAATTCTGAAAAGTCCTATAAACAATAAAATAATTAGTAGAGAGATAAAATTAATAAACATAAGACAATAGCTTTTCACATACTCAGATAACAATCACTTAGAAAGATGTAGTGGAAAAAAGAAATCATTTACAATAGGAACAAAGAAAACACCTACAAATAGAGTTTACAAGAAACATGTAAAACTTACGTGAAGTAAACTTTAAAATATCCCTAAAGGACAACAGGTATCCTTGAATGAATAGAAAGGCACCCCAAAGTCTTGGACAGGTTAATGACCAATTCAGTAGATCTGGAGTGCAGCCCAAGATTCTGAGTTTCTTACAGCCTGCTTTCCCCAGAATAGCCTGCTCTGTGCCGTAAAGCAGTTATTCTCAAGATGTACTCCCTAGACCGGTAGCATCAGTATCACCTGAGAACCTGTTAGAAATGCAGATTCTTTTGCCTCACTCCAGACCTACTGAATCAGACACCCTGGAGGTGGAGTTCAGCAATCCACATTTTAATAAGCCCTCCAGATGATTTTTATATGGACCAAAATTTGAGAACCACTGCCTTGGTGTTATCAAATTTAACTTGAACTGGAATCAGCAAGGATTATGTTAAACTGCCGGCTTGACTCAACAGGTCTTAGATACTGTCTGATTCTGTATTTCTAATAAGCTTCATCGCGATGCTGATGTTGACGGTCTGAAGATAACATTTTGAGGGACAAGACTAGAAGAACAGTCTGTTTCCAGCTTACTGAAGGCCAGCCTAGTCTGAAACCCTAGCTTGCTATTTTTTCCTAGATATTAATGACAAATAATAGCTTAATGTGTTACTCCTCCCAATAATATGTTTGTGTTCCTTTCAAACAAAATTTATTTAAAAATTTGTAATAATTAAAAGTTTAGTAATTAAAATATTAAAAAAATAATTAAAAGTGAATCTCCAGCTTTGGTGGAGAAATTTTAGAGAGATACTTATCAGCATCTATCAAATCATGCTATAGATGCTATACTGCTAACTGGAACCTAAAGAAAAAGAAAACATTATTGAAGAAAATGCTCTCTATGCATAGTGAGAATGTATAAATGTATAAATACAATTTGCCTCTAATTTTTGTCTTTTTATAAATTTTGATTTTCATGTTAGTGTTCAGGCTCTATCGCTTCATATTGCCCCAAAATTCAGTGACTTAAAGTCACAAACATTTATTTAAGCTCATGATTTTTGGGGTCATGGAGTTGGATAGGACATAGCAAGGACTTCTCTACAAAGCCTGCAGCCTCCACTGGAGTGGGTCAAATGTTTGGAGATGGCTGCAATGATTTGACTAGGGCCATAGATCTGGGGCCTTTTGTTCTCACTGTTGGTTGGACTTTCTGGTCCTTCTCCATGTCATGTACACTGGGGCCTGAATGTTTAAAATGACTCCTTCGCTCACATGTCTGACCCCTAAGCTAGAATATCTGGGACAATTGGAGCCATTGGGATCTCTCTCTCTCTCTCTCTCTCTTTATCTCTCTCTCTCTCCCCTCTAACCCCCCCAACTGGCTAGCTTGGGCCTTTGCAGAGCTTGGTAGTCCCAGCGTAATTGCAGTTCTTACACAGTGGCTTTTACCAGACTGTTGAGCATTGCAACATTGTAAGAGACCAAGGCATAAACTGTGATACTGCTTAACAACCTACCTTTGTGTCTGCCATAGTTGATTGGTTCATAAGGTCAGATTCAAAGTGAGGATAACAAGACTACATCTGCCAGGAAGGAGCCATTGAACCATGTTTATCACATGTGCTGGTTAATTTTAGATGTCAACTTGATTGGATTAAGGGGTAGCCAGATAATTATTAAAGCATTATTTCTGGGTATGTATATGGGGATATTTCCAAAAAAGATTGGCATTTAAATCAGTGGACTGAGTAAGGAAGGAAAATCTGCTCTCACCTAATCTGGGCAGGTGCAATACAATCCACTGAGGGCCTGGGTAGGACAAAAAAGGAGAGGATGGACAAATTTGCTCGTGCGCTCTCTCTCTCTCTCTCTCTCTCTCTCTCTCTGTCTCTCTCTGTCTCTCGCTGTCTCCCTTCGAGTTGGGTCACCAATCTTTTCTCTGTCTCCTGGAGTTGGGTCACCAATCTTCTCCTCTATTGGCCCTTAGAAATAAAAACTTCAGGTTCCTTTGCCTTTGGCTCTGGGATTTGTGCCATCAACTCCCCTAGTTTTCAGGCCCTCAGACTGGGGCTTGAGCCACCCTACTCACTTACCTGATTCACCAGCTTACAGGTGGCATGTCATGGGCCTTCTCAGCCTTCATAATCACATGAGCCAATTCCCACAATAAATCCTCCTATATATATACACACACACAATATATATAGCACATATATTTTGGTATATATTTGTTGTATTTTGCTGTATACAATAATATATATAACAATATATATTCCCACAATAAATCCCCTTTAATATATATTTTATGTATATATACACACGCATACACACACACAGACATACAGACACATACACACACATGCAAACACATGTATATGTATGTATGTATGTATATATACTGTTGTACTGTTGGTTCTGTTTCTCTGGACAATGCTGCCTAATATACCACTGTTAAACGTGTATTAAAATGAGAGACCCAGGTACACCAAAGATACTCCAAAATTGCTTAGCTAGAACCAATTTAAATCCAAAAAAAAAAAAAAAAAGGCTCACTGTAAAACTTCTGAAAGTTCATCCCAGCCCAAGAAAACCCATGGTATATTGGCAAATACATCATATTAGGACATCTCTTTTTTTCCCAGAGAGCCAGTTTTTAAATCTTTATCATACTCTGCTGTTTGAAATCCAGATAACATTTCCAATATTTCAACCTCACAGCCCCTCACCACCTTCACTGACTCCCTATATAAAATCAGTAGTTCTTCACCATGACTGCACATATAATCACTTAGAAAGCTTTTAAAAGAAACTTCAATGTTCAGGCCCTAACCCAGAAAAGTTACATCAGGTTCTTAGGATATGGGACCAGACATTGAGATTGTCAAAGGCCCCCAGGTGATTCCAGTGTGCAGCCAATATCGAGAGCTGCTGACAAACACAGATAGATGCTTTCCATCAAACCTCTCACACCAACCTCTTAGCTTTTTCTTAATGATTTTGGGATCTAAAATGAGAGAAGTCCAAGCACTACCCACAAAGGAAGTTAAATATCCCCTGGCTTGTATAACAGAGAAAAATGAGAGGGAAATATTAGAAAATTAAGATAATTACCTTAGAGAATTCAGAACCACCAAAGTCTAAATAGAATAATATAGTTAATAGTTGAAGTACCCGAAATATATCATGTGAGAAGCGACAGCAGTTTTCTGCTACCCAGTGACTTCTGGATTGCTTTAAGCAGTTTTTAGAGTAAATCAGTGGATCATCAGGCTTTGAAACAACTAATCTGAATCAATAATGTCATGGTTTTTTGGTTAAATGTATACATTTTCAGTGATGCTTTAAAGGTCTCATATAGAAAACCATGCAAAAGTTTTAAAAGTTGCTTTTGACACATTTATTTTACAATATATTACTTTAAGGTATAATGCATAGAATTATGTAGTGATTTGTCTGCCATGTCTTATTTTTGTAATCTTTGTTGAAGACCTTTTTTCACCACTTGATATTTGATATGTATAAGCTGAATGTATCCTAAAGCTGAATTAAGAGGTTGAGCCTGAAAAAAGGAAGGAACTACACAGGAAAAACAAAGGAATCATATATACGTGTACACAATTTATTCATGGGATAAATTGGACAGAATCAGCATTATGTGCCATGAAATTTTTCCTTGAGTATATTCCTTGTATAGGAAAGCATCACATTCTTTTCAAGAGCATTCTGCAATCCTTTCCTCTTGTGTAATAGGGTAGTGGTGGTAGGGAGAAGACAAGACCTTCAGGGAAAATTAGAAGTATAAAAAGGGAGTAAGCCTGGGCTTGGGTTAACTCTAGCCCAAGGACCCCCTCCATACGCTTCAATTCTAGACCTGGAAGAGACTGTTGTGGCAGACATTAGTATGACCTTTGGGTGCCCTCTCTAGATATCCAAATTCAGGGTGCCAATGTCTCAGTTCTGCGGTGTAACCTCCTCTGGAAGATCACCCTTGGACCAATGGAGACTCCTCACCTGGAGTTTTATGAGGAATGCTCTCTTTTGCCCCGGAATGACTCTTGGCTGCAATGGAAGCCCCAGAGCACAGTTGGGTCAGGAGGAAGCTGACATTCCAGAGCCCCCATAGGTCAAGCTGAGGCTGAAGTCCCAGAATTTCCTGTGGGATTGATTAAGACTCCACTTGAAACTGCATTCTTTCTTGTGTTTATCCTGCTAATATGTTTCTCCTAAGAGGATTTCCTTTTTAATAAATCATGTATACACAGCTCCCTGTGTCAGGCGCAACCTCTAGGGAGCACATCCAAAGACAACTAATGGTCCACACATCTTAAAGTCTCTGCTATCAAAGCCAACCCATGCTGCTGCCTCTGGATACCCATTCCCTCAGGATACTCAAGAGCAGACACCAATTTGCTCTCCCTATCTTGCTCCACTGCCTCCAGGACAATTCGTGGGACAGATAAGTTTTCTTGGACTTGTTTTGTTCCTGAGTAAAGGACTGTTAAAGAATTTAGGACCAGCAGTCAGGATGAGAACCTGTTAAGTGGCTTCTTCCAGAGGAGGAGGATGAGTTCCTCTGCTACTTATTAAGCTGCAGCACCAAGTACCCAGACTGCCGGCTTCTTGCCAGTCAGCTTGGAGTTTCTTGAATGAGGCAGTCATTGTCATGAGTGTAAGCGTTCTGAGTACAGAAAGTCCCTGGAGTTGAGGGTAGCAGAAATATGCCCTAGATATGACTTCTCAATCCTCAGTTTCTCACAACTAACCTACTTCTATAGAACTTCTGTTTCAGCCTCTCAAGCACTGCAAGCGAGGCATGGGCATTGGTTCCTATGTGTATTTTTCCAGCTCAGAAGACACTTAAAGGCAGACAAACTTCAAGTCAAGAAAGATTAAGAAGGAGAATTCTTTGCTGAATTTTGTCTCCCTTTATTCTGAAAACTCTACTTCACATCCCTAATCCCTGTTCTGTCCCTGCCAGATACACACACAGACGTCTGACCCTGCACCTCCAAGTTCCCAAAGATATTGTATGTAGAAAAAAACAAACCTTTTTAAATTGACATTCACACAACACTGAACACTGCTTGCCACCAATTGTATGAGTTTTCTCCCACACTGGCCAATTCTCCAATACCAACTGGATATCTTAAATTCAATTCTGGCACTAATCAGCATTAAGTGCAGACCCCCAGCAGGTTAAGGGCTCAGTCCCATAAGACCTCCCCCAACTTCAGACACCAGTCACAAGCAGTAGGTTCCAAAGTTACTCACATCTTCTATCTGACATGACTACAAAGCAGAGGTTCCAATGAATCTCAGGAAAGAGCTTTATTTACTTTCATCCGTCTATTATAAAAGAATATAACTCAGAAATGGTCAGATGGAAGAGATGCACAGGAACAGGTTTGGCAGAAGGGGCATGGCGCTTCCACGGTCCCTTTGGGCACACCACCGCTCATGTATTGAGCAACGCAGAAGCTCTCTGAACCCTGTCCTTTGGATTTTTATAGGAAGTTTTATTCGTAGGCATGATTGATTAAATCATTATCCATTTGTGAGCGACTCAACCTTCAGCCCCTCTCCCTTCCCCAAGGTCTGGAAGTGGGACTGAAAGTTCCAGCCCTCTAAACACATGGTTGGTTTCCCTGGCAACCAGACCCCATTCTGAGGCCATTCAGAAGCCACTAACCATCAGTCATGTCATTTGCATACTACCAGACACATCACTTGGGAGGTCCCAAAGGTTTTAGGAGCTCTGCACCAGGAATAGGAAGAAAGATCAAACACATATTTCTTCTTGTAAACGACAATAACATAGATGTGTTCTGGGTCCTATACTTGTAGGATTCAGTTTGCCACCATGTTTCATGTTAATAAAAAGTTAATATTCAGTTTTCTCAAACTAGGAGACATAGACTCCCACTGATATAAGGTATGAGCCACAGCACAAAACATAGTTCTTTTTTTAAGCACAATTCTTCCCAGAGATTTAAGGAGAATTTATGTACATATACACATACACATATATATGTATATACTGACGTGGATATAGTACATTGTAGAATGCAAGATTCGCATTATTTCTGATAAATGTAAGACTGCAATACAGTTTTATGCCAGTACTGCTTTGGACAGTGTCCCCAGACCTTTAGTCAGGGTCAATTTACCCTACTACAGTCTGAATGTTTGTGTCTCCCCCAATTTCATATGTTGAAATCCTAACCCCCAAGCTGATAGTATTAAGAAGAGAGCCTTTGAGAAGTAATTGGGTCATGATGGTGGAGCCTCCAGGGACGGGATTAGTGTCTTATAAAAAATGCTCAAGGGAGTTGATTTGCACTTTCCACCATGGAAGGACACTGAGAAGGCAGCAAGCAGTTCGCAACCTGGAAAATTGCTCTCATCAGAACCTGACCCACAATACTTGTAAGGGTCCACTAAATGTTTTTAATTTCTTTTAAAATCAGAAGAAAATACATAAACTTTTAGGCTGAAGAAAATGCTAATATATTCGCCTTTTATCAATGCAGTTATAAATATACATTTCTATATATATATATATTTGTTACTACTACTTTGAATGTAGGAAGTGGTTCACAAAGGCAAAAGTACATAAAGCTCACACAAATCATGATGCAGCCCTGCTTCCAGGGGCATATTTTCAGTATACAGTGAAAACATGTGAAAAACTTTCAGTTTCAGGCATCGTATTCTTGCAACTTTTCATTTTTGAGAACTGAAGTCTTCAGATTCTGAGGGAATGAATTCCAGAATTTCATACATCCTTAAAAGGATAGATTTGAAGGACAAAGACTCCTGCTGATCACACTGTAGGAGCCACTGTGTAAGGCAATCTGTGTTAAGAGTAACTTGCTCACTCACAAGCCATTGCTTCTGCCCCTAAATTCTGCAACCAATATTTACAGAGACTGATGAGCCCTCTCACATGAGTCTGTCTGTTGAATGATAAAATCTTAGATCTTGGAGCAACATTTGGGCCTACTGAGCCCAACTCTCTACCAATGCAAGAGCATCTTTGTCACCCTTCAGCATCAAGTTGAGCACATACTGATGCTCCACTTGAGACCTTCAAAGCAGTTTCCTTTGTGTTATTGTCTTGTAAAGATACTCCAAATGTAAGAAAATACAGAGATACACAGGTTACTGGTGATAGGAGGATCCCAAAATGAGCCTTCCACTCAGCACCATGAGTCAGTGATGGTGGATGAGCTACACATTGTGGGCAGTACCCACAAGGACCATTGTCGTCTCATCATCCCCAGGGCTAAGTTCCAGACCATTGTCCACCACTCTGTGGAGGGTGCTGTAGTGTTGCCGGCTTTGGTGGAAAGAATGCAGCTCTGAAGCAGCCTCCCAGGCAGCAAACGTAGGCATGGGAAAAGGATCTGGCCTCTTGTTTTCAAAAAAGCATTTCAGGTTCCTCTCGCTCAGCTTGTTGGCATAGTCCAGAAATGTGTTTTCCAACTGCTCCTTCTCCTTTTGTGCATATGTCTTCCAAAAACTCAGCTGAAGGTAGCTAACTTTAGATCGGCAGCGAGCATAACATGTGGTGAGCAGAGAGAAGAAAGATGCTGAACAAATCAGGCACCATCCTAGAATCTTAACAAGAAAGAAATATTGAGTACACATGAAAGCAAAGTAATTTAGGGAGCTAGGGTGGTATTATTGAGAAGTGTATAGCTAAATTACCATGGTCTTTGGCATACCTCATTTGAAATCATTCATCTTAATTTGTGAACACTTTAAACTCACTTTTTGAATTTATTAGGTAAACTCAAAATAAAGTTAGGGTTTACCTAATCTCTATTCTCTTCCTCAACATTGCTGTTGCAAAGAAATAACCAGAAGGCAGGCAGACGAAAAAGAGTACAAAGTATAGATTACATAAGACTTACAGAAATCAAGCTCAGATAGTATTAGCTCTGAGAGGAAAATATTCTGTGCATAAGTAAATGTGGTCATTTGAGCAAATGACCAGCTCTTCAGCCACGCATTTTTAGGCAGTGATAAATGTATATACATGGCTAGTGACTGATTTTTTTTCTGTCATTACTCACTGTCCATGGAAAAGGGAGACAGACGATACAATCAGGAAGCTGAAGCCATAAGAATTTAAAGGCTGAGAAAAAATTAGGATCATTAAAATCTTGAAAATGATTTGTCTTGATTTTTGATAATTAGAAAAAACAAACTCTTTCCTGAATATGAAATAGTTCAGCTTTTCTCCCCTGGATCTTAAAAGCAAAAGTTTAAATAGCTCAAATTATCTTCTAACTTTTTTGGCTCTAATTCTGTTTTCACAATTGGAATTAATTTTATGTTTGGAAAACTAACTTTTTTTCAAGGTGTCTCTTGACATTTAGTTTAAATGATCCTTAATATTCTTTAGCATATGAGCCTATTTGAAAATAGAGATAATCTACAAATGAACCCATTCAGACCATAACAAAACCACAAATAAGCTTTAAATCAGTGGTTCCCAACTTCTGGCTCGGATACAGAGTGTCTGTGAAGGGTCTCAACCTCTGCCCCAATGCCAACTCTGGACTGGCACTACTCAGGTTTAAATCTAAACTTTCCCCTTACTGTGCATATTCTTGTATCTCAGTTTCTTCACTTGTGAAATGGGGGTTACTCACCTTGAAGGGTAATTTGGTGGACCTAATGAATCATGCTGGACACATGTATTCATTAAGTTTTAGCTAATATTATATGCTGCTATTCTTCAAATGTGTATACACTTATGTAATTGTGTTAATGAATTCATAATATCTTTCTGTACTTATAATTAATGAGTGAGGCACAACTACCATCATGTGAAAGTCCTTGAATGGCTTGTGGTTGGCTACCTTGTATCTTCCTCTTTCCTTCATTGTCTATCTTCCTCTTTTTCCACAGCTGAGGCTTCTGTACGCCATCTCATCTCAGTATCGGAGCCAGTTTCAGCTGAGTTATAAACTATTTCATCAGCTTCAGGTCCCCTTCTCCCTTTCACATGACCTTTGCATTGACCGATGCTTCCCCTCAATCCACAGCACCCAGAGTCAAACTAGAGCATGGTGGATGCTTCCATAGCAGCCCTCAATAGTGTCTTATTTTGCATATGTCTTCCCCCAAACCCTGGCAGTTTTCCTCATTGACTTGGAACACCTACTGTGTACCAGAAACTTTATGCCCATTTATGTCTATCATCTCAAAATCTTCCAACAACTCTCCAAAGTAGGTGATATTACCACCAACTATGAGAAAACTGGGACTCAAAGAGGTCGAACCACTAGTTCTAGGTCACATAGCTGGTGATTGATAGCATCAGCATACAAACCCAAGGCCAGACAATTCCAAGACTGAGCTCTTTCCACTACTCCATTCTATCTTCCTTAAGAATAGAGAGTCATCCAGCTAGAATTTTTGTTTATCTGCCCCACCCATGGATGAATGTTCTTTTCCACCTCCAGGCACAAGTCCAACTATTATTGGTCTGGACTATATGTTGCCTCCTGCCTATCTGAACCTCTGTATTCAGCACCTGCTGTTGATACGACTCCTCTTGCCCACATTCCTTATACATCTTCCCACAGGAATCAGCCCCAGGTCCTTCTCATTCTGATGAAGAATCAGCAGGTCAGTGTGCTCAGTCTAAGTTATGACATGATGTGCATGGTTTCCTAGTGCCTGTGTTTAGAGCGGAGAAGCTCACACAGTGATAGGTGTTTGGGCCTGGCACTGACTGAATGGGGCCTGGTGCCTGAGGACATAAACCATAAATCAATCATTCTATCATAAGAGTTGTAAGTTATACCCTTCTGCAGTAAAAGACACAAGACATTTGGGAGCCTGATATGTTTTATCTAAGATGTGCTTTATGCATTAAAGAAAAGATTTTGTTTTGGAGAATTTTTTGACTTACCAATTTATGAAGAGTATGACTTTACTGCCAACCAGCTTTGGAGTATATGATTTTAAAAACAGACTTTGCCTTGATGTGTTGTTACCAAGGCAAATCCTTGTTGAATAATGCTATTTCAGTGCCTTTATTCTGACGCAGATAGCGTTCCTGACAATTTGTAGATCTGCTTATCAACTCTTACCGCTTGTTTTGCTTTTGGGAATGCAATTCTTACTACCTATAAATGGGAGGTCAGTCCTTCCTAAGGCTGTACATCTGGATTTGTGTTCATGTGCCTGGAGGAATGACAAGCTACTTCCCTGCATCAATTAGGTAAAGATATGATTTCCTTCTGTTAAATAAAACAATGCCCCAATCTTGAGCTTCTGAAGTAATTAAGAACCCCTTTAGCTGTATAGCACAAAGAGTATAAAACATAATCTCCCTAGAGAGTACGGTCACTTTTTCACAGAAGTTATTTAAAAACTGCTGATTCCTACTTTACAAGGGAAATTCTTCTCAATCTTGGTAATATTTATATACAGAGACAGCGGTTGCCAGAAATCATTCAAGAGACTCTCTACACTAATTATATTACACGCAACTTTGAAAAGTATTAACTCATTTCATTCAGCTACATTTTAATAGATGAATAATATATGTGTGTGTTTGAGAAACGAACTTGAATATAAATAATTGACAGAAGGCAGTAATTTCCAATTACAGCTCTGCCATTAACACTCAATTTATGATTTAGTGTTAGACATTATTTATTTACAAAGTCAACCCAGAGAGAATGTTTTAAAGTACTTAAGTATTTACTATTTACATGTGGACAATCCAGTGGATATTTTCTTTTCAGAACCGGAAAAGAGATAATCCATTCAGCAACTTTACTGAACCATCCAGCCTTTCAAAAGCTTTTCCTGAGATAGTCTCAATGCTGCATCAGGTTTCAGTTTCCATTTAGTTTCAAAATATTCTGACAGGACACAGACTCAGCCCTGGCTGAAAGGAGGACAGAGAGAATACTTCAAGCTCATGCTGAGAGAAAACGGCGAGTTTGTGTTTTCTTACCTGAGACTGGGCCTGAAGGGACAGTTTCAGTTCTTCATTGATGGTGGGTAGCATGCTGGTTTTGCCACAAGAAACTTTGTGAAGTTCTTCCCAGCACTCTTTGGGCTTACCCTTGCAAATCAGTTCCAGGAGTCCCGAACTTCTTGTCCCGCTCATGGCACATTCATAGAAAGTTCCATTGAGCAGAGCCACAGAAAGCCACATCACTGGAGCCACCAATGAGCTCAGAGTGATCTGGCCAAGGACGTAGAAGAAACGGCAGCTGTGGCCTCTGGGAAATATTTTCCTGGGATTCACACAGCAGCCTGTGAAGAGTCTCCATGACCTATTGTTCAGAAAGAATCCCAGGATCAGTAACACCCAGGCAGGAGCAAAGAGGAAAACCAGCCCATAGGTCATATTCTCAGTGCTGCAGGGGCACTTAAAAGCCACAACAGAAAAGAGACGCTCACTTCCCACGGTCAGCAGAGCCATGAAGCTGTAGCCAATAACAGTTTTCTGATTAAGGAAAAATTTTAAAATGCCCTGAAAAGCATCCATGTTGGAGATGCACAAAGAGGGAAAATGCTGTGCCTTTGTTATTGGCAGAGCAGCTGTGGCAGTGGCTGAGGGTGGAGCTCTTTCTTCATCAGAAACAACAGTCCTTCTTCTCAGACTGAATTGAGCCAGATAAGGAAACAGTGTCATTCCTTGGGAATGACTGTTTCTCAACATGTTTAGATAATGCCTCCTACTGGTGGAAATAGGGCTGTGATACTGCAGCCTAAAGGCGGAGAATAAATTCAAAGTGCACAGGCTCCATTTTTACATTCTTTCCATGTGGCTTGGATTGAAAGTCAGAAAAGAAATTCTCACTCATACAAATAATAGTCTAGGAATTTTCCAGTGTAAGGAATCAACATTAACAGAAAGAGGTTTCAGCCAATTGATCAGGAGACACATCAAATCTGCAAACCTTGAATTTTTTCCTCTTGCTATGACTTGAGATTTGGAAGACAGGGATTTGCTGTCTTTATATATATATATATATAAAAATACATATGAAAATTTTATATATATATATCAATAGCTTTTGGGGTACAAGTGGGTTTTGGTTATATGGATGAATTATGTGTGTGTGTGTGTGTGTGTGTGTGTGTATATATAGTGCTGAATTCTGAGATTTTAGTGCACCCATCACCGGATATGTATGTGTACCCAATATGTATTATTTTATCCCTCACCCCAATTCCACTCTCCCTCTTTCTGAGTCTCCAAAGTCCATTATACCACTCCATACGCCTTTATGTACCCACAGCTTAACTCCCACTTATAAGTGAGAACTACAGTTTTTGGTTTTCCATTTCCAAGTTACTTTGCTTGGAATAACAGCCTCTAGCTCCATCAAGTTGCTGCAAAAGACATTATTTCATTCTTTTTTATGACTGAGTAGTATTCCATGGTGTATCTACACCACATTTTCTGTATTCATCAGTTGATGGTTACTTAGATTAGTTTCATATCTTTGCAATTGTGAATTGTGTTGCAATAAATATACATGTGCAGATTTTTTTAAAAAAAATATATAATGACTTCTTTTTCTTTGGGTAGATACCCAGTAGTGAGATTGCTGGATTGAATAATAGATCTACTTTTAGTACTTAAAGTTCTTTCTTTAAGAACTAAAGAAAAGTGCAGTGGTTCATGCCTGTAGTTCCAACGTTTTGGGAGGCCGAGGCGGGTGCATTGCTTGAGCCCAGGAATTCGAGACCAGCCTAGGCAACATGGCGAATCTCCATCTCTACAAAAAAAAAAAAAACCCAAAAAATTAGCCAGGCTTGGTGGCATGCACCTGTAGTCCCAGCTACTTGGGAGGCAGAGATGGGAGGATTGCTTGAGCCCAGGAGGCTGAGGTTGTGGTGAGCCAAATCATGCCACTGCATTCCAGTCTGGGTGACAGAGCAAGACCCTGTCTCATAAATAAATAAATAGAAGGAAAGAAAGAAATCTCCATACTGTTTTTTATAGTGGTTGTACTAATTTACATTCCCACCAGCATTCTACCAAAATTCTGTTTTCACAAAATTCATACCAATATCTATTGTTTTTGCCTTTTTAGTAACAGCCATTATTACTGGGATAAGGTGGTATCTCATTGTGGTTTCAGTTTACATTTCCCTGATGATTAGTGATGTTGAACATTTTTTCATATGTTTGTTGGCCATTTGTGTGTCTTCTTTTGTGAAATGTCTACTGATGTCATTTGCCCACTTTTTGATGGAATTATTTGTTTTTTTCCTGCTGATTTGTTTGAGTTCCTTGTAGATATTAGTCTTTTGTCAGATGCATAGTTTACAAATATCTTCTCCCATTTTGTGGGTTGCCTGTTTACCCTGATGTTCATTTCCTTTGCTGTGCAGAAGCTTTTTAGTCTAATTAGGTCCCATTTATTTGTTTTTGGTTTTGTTGCATTTGCTTTTTGGGTCTTAGTCATAAATTCTTTGCCTAGGCCAATGTCCAGAAGAGTTTTTATTAGATTTCTTTCTAGAATTTTATGGTTTCACATCTTAGATATAAGTCTTTGATTCATCTTGAGTTGATTTTTGTATATGGTGAGCAACAGGGATCCAGTTTCATTCTTCTACATGTTGCTATCCTGTTTTCCAAGCACCTTTTAATGGATACAGTGTCCTTTCCCCAGTTTACGTTTTTGTATGCTTTGTCAAAGATCAATTGGTTCTCGGTTCTCTATTCTGTTCCATTGGTCTATGTATCTACCTTTGTACCAGTACTATGCTGTTTTGATAACTATACCTTTGTAGTATAATTTGAAGTCAGGTAATGTGATGCCTCCAGATTTATTCTTTTGGCTTAGTATTGATTTTACTGTTGGGGCTCTTTTTTTGGTTCCATATAAATTTTAGGATTGTTTTTTTCTAATTCTGTGAAAAATGATGTTATGATGTTGGTATTTTGATAGGAATTGCAATGAATCTGTAGATTGCTTTAGGAAGTATGGTTATTTTCACAATATTGATTCTTCTAATCCAGGAGCATGGCATATATTTCCCTTTGTTTGTGTTATCTATGACTTCTTTCAGCTGCATTTTATAGTTCTCCTTACAGAGATCTTTCACCTCTTTCATTAAGTATATTCCTTGGTGGGTTTTTTTTTTTTTTTTTTTTTTGCAACTATTATAAAAGGGGTTGAGTTCTTGATTTGACTCTTTGGTTGTTGTTGGTGTATAGCAGGGCTAATGATTTGGGTACATTAGTTTTGTAAACTAAGACTTTACTAAATTCATTTATCAAATCTAGTAGTCTTTTGGAGGAGTCTTTAGGGTTTTCTAGATACATGATTATACTGACAAACGGAGATAGTTTGACTTCCTCTTTTCTAATTTGAATGCCCTTTATTTCTTTTCTTGCCTGATTGCTTTGGATGGGATTCCTATTACTAGCACTATGTTGAATAGAAGTGGTGAAAGTAGGCATCCCTTTCTGTTCCACTTCTTAGGGGGAATGCCTTCACCTTTTGCCCTTTCATTTTCTATCTTCCTAAACTGGCTAATGTTAGAGGTCAAATTTTAGGATTTGAGATATGTGCATTTTAGTTGGGAAAGTTTAGGGAGAGTTTGAGTTTTGAAGGAAAGTCAAAATGAGGAGTCCTCATCATTTCTTTCCTAGGCTATAATAGTAACCTTTTGATTAGTATCTCTGCCCTTGACGTCATGCTCACACCCATCCATAACCCTAAATCCATCCTCTATGCTGACAAGAAAAGGATCCCTCTAAAACTGAAATTTAATTCTGCATTAGCCAGTTCACACCTTTTGGGGCTCACAACTGCTCACAAGTTGATATATGTAGAGCTTCCCTGAACCCCATCATGGTATTTTATGCTCATGACATGTTCCCACTACCTAGAATGTCTTTGTCACTTCCCTCCAGACCCCCAGTCTTGTCTGCCCAGCAAACATTCAGTCAATAGATGCCCATTCTATAATTTTGTCTTGCAAATGGCTACTGAACTCCCACTGTATGCCAGGTACTGTGCCAGAATGGTGGTGCTCAAGAAGTGTCTGTTGAATAAATGAAGAATGAATAAGGAATCTCTTAGTCCTTCTGATTATACGTAATTTAAGAAAATTGCTTCCATTTCTCTCCTCCACAGCTCTTAATTTTAAAAATTAATTAATTTCTGCACTTGAAATTTCATTAATAAACTTCAAAGTCCAGACCTGTGTGTTTTGTGAAAATAAATTGCCTTGGACTAGGAGCCAAGGAATTAAGTTATACCATGGTCTTGGCAGTGTCAGTTGGCTTATCTGAACATCAGTTTACTTATTTGTGAAACTAAGGCCTTAAAAGACACAGTCTGCAAGTTTCTTCCATTTCCACATTGTAAAATTCTTCAAGCAATGTAAAACAGCAGACCTTTTTGCGAAGTTACTTTATAATTCATTTATGCACCTCCTGCCACTACCACTTGCTCCTTAGAGACTTGTCTTTGATAGTAGAGTAGTCCCCTGTTACCTACAGGGGATACCTGCTACTAAGACCTCCATTAGGGGATACCTGCAACCAAGACCCACAGGGGATACCTGCAACCAAGACCCCCAAACTTCAGATAGTACCAAACCTGTATATATTATGTTTTTCTAAAATCTGCTAACTGAGGCAGTTAACAAGTGACCCATGGGCAGGTCATACCATAAACAGTGTGAATACACTGGACAAAGGGATGATTCATGTTCTGGGCAGTATGGAGTGGGGACAGTGAGAGGCTTCATCACACTGCTCAGAAGCACAATTTAAAACTTATGAATTATTTATTCTAGAATTTTCTATCGAATATTTTCAAATTATGTTGACCAGAGGTAACTGAGACCACAGATAATAGCCAGCAATCCAAAATTGTTCCCTCCACTTCCCAAAATGTATTCTTGGGTCTAATCTGCCCCTAGCATCCTCTGCTTTGACTGTCACCATACTATTGTGGCAAATGTGTCCTGGGTCCCTTCTAATCCAGGGTTTTATACTTTGCTAGTATCAGTGTGACAAATATCAGCTGATATGTTGATGATTAGTAGTATTTTAATTTCTTACTCCCTGAAAGGATATGTATCTTTTTAAAAGTTTTTGAAAATAATGCTTTAGTGTAATTTTTTATAAACCATATTATTTCCACAGAAAATTAGCCTCTTACAATATTCTATACAAGTAAAAATAGTATTTTTATTTATTTATTTATTTTTATACTTTAAGTTCTAGGGTACATGTGCACAACATGCAGGTTTGTCTCACAGGTATACATGTGCCATGATGGTTTGGTGCACCCATTACCTCATCATTTACATTAGGTATTTCTCCTAACGCTTTCCCTCCCCCAGCCCCCCAGCCCCCCAGCCCCTGACAGGCCCCATTGTGTGATGTCCCCCTCCCTGTGTCCATGTGTTCTCATTGTTCAACTCCCACTTCTGAGTGAGAACATGCGCTGTTTGGTTGTCTGTCCTTGTGATATCTTGCTGAGAATGATGGTTTCCAGCTTCATCCATGTACCTGCAGAGGACATGAACTCATCCTTTTTGATGGTTGCATGGTATTCCATGATATATATTTCTGACACATTTTCTTTATCCAGTCTATTATTGATGGACATTTGGGTTGATTCCAAGTCTTTGCTCTTGTGAATAGTGCCATAATAAACATACATGTGCATGT